AGCTCTGGTGCGGGCGGCGGTCCTGCCGGTAGAGAGGAGTCGTCTGTTGGATAAGGCGGCATCACGGGCATGCTCTGCATAGTGGCGCTGGAAATGGAAGACACCTCTGAAGCGACCGACCCCCTAGATGGGTCCCTCTCGGCGTTGAAGCGCCGCGTAGGTGACGACTGGCCATTCTGTTGCGGACCAGACCCCGGGCGATGCGAATGCGGTCGGTGGCTCTCCAGAGTGTCCTCCAGCATGTTGGTCAGGCCGCTGCTGCCGCTCCCGATGGTGCTGATGCTCGTGGCTCGCTCCGGAACCGCGGAGCCATCCCGATCACGCCCTTGCTTCTGGCGCAATCTCTGCTGCTTCCGCTTCAGCCCGTGGAGCAGGTTGATGATGATGTCCCGAATTCTAGGCAGGTACTTCTCCAGGCTCTCGGCGCTCGCTTCTTGGCTCAGGCAGGCCTCGAGGATGCTGCGAAGCAGATCGGGCACGTTGCCCAGGTCGGAGGTGTCGACGTTGATGGCGGTAAAGGCCCGACAGGCCATGTTGAACTCGTAGCCTAGCCGTACGTAGACGTCGGAGACTTGCGCATCGGTTGCTTGGCCGCGCGACCACTGCGTCAGTGTTTCGAGAAGCTGCTTGGTGGCTACGAGGAGATGAGTGACGCTCTTTTCGATTTGCGACAGCGGCATGTTGGAACCGCTCCCCGACCCGGAGGAACCCTATGCACACAAGTCAGCTCGAGCCGCGCCCGCCGTATTTGAGTCGCCCACCAGGCGCCGGAATCTGTTCAGGGCAGGTTGGCTTTGACGTACCTCGCGGGTTGTCCTCCTCGACCCGCTGGTGGACGGGGCGGACCTGACGGAGGCATTGGATTGTCGCTGCTGGGGATGGCCTTGCTGCATGCCGGGCGAGATGGCTCGCACGGAAACATTTGGCGGAGGCCCAGGATCCGTGGCCCCCGGGGATCGCCGTTGTGAGTAGGCCCTCTGGGCGGCAGAGGCTTGTGGCTGCATCGTGTCACTTCTCCCGAGCTACTCTTTGACTTTGTTTCTTCTTCTTCTTCTTCGCGCTCCCCTCGAGTCGGAACGGCGCTGTAGGTTTCTAATCAGATGGGCCGTCTCCCCCCCTTATATTCGCTCTGACGGGCCGTTATCGCGGGAACCAAACGGGTGGCTGGCGAGCGGGTCGACGAAGGCGTCGTGTGGCGGCCTCGGACGAGCGAGCAATAGGGATGAGCGGTGGAGTCGTTCCTCGGGCTCGGGTGCTACAGAAGCAAGTCGAGAGACAATCAAGGTCGGGCTGTGTCGTCCGAAGGGTTGTCGACCAGAGACAGCAAGGAGCAATTCGGTAATGAACAAGGGCAGAGAACGGTCAAGTGCGACAGCGGAGAGTCCCGTCACATTATCCAACGAGCGGCAGGCGGCTGACAAAAGCAAGACGAGATGCCCTCGGATGTCGTTGTGCGCAAGACTCGGGGGAAGCCCAGGCTCGGCGCCAGATGAGGCGAAGAGGCGAATGGAGGTGCTGGCGAGTTGTAGCGATGGCTTCAGTCTGCGGAGGTGTTTGTCGAAGTCGGTCGGTGGGTGCTGAGCTGCTAAAGCATGCAGATACCAGGGGGAAGGTTCGTGTTCGTAGAGAGAGAAGATGGGTTGGTAGTTGTGAAACCGTCAGCGGCTGAGGCAGGAAAAAGGAATGGCCGAACCTGGAAGCTGGGAAAAAGAGGCTGG